TACAGGTAAATCACTGTGGCTGGCCTTGGATGGTGAAGTTGTAATTTTCTAAGTGGTTTTGTCCACTCAAAGAACTCAATTATAACTAGCAGATTTCTGGGTAAGCAAAGAATGAGAAGAAATGGAGCTGAATATTCTGAGCCTTTTATTTTAGACCATAGGTTCATATAATTGGATTATTCATGATCCTTGATTCATGACATATTATCATCATAGTCTTAGATGCAGAGGTCCATGCATGTCCAACTTCATTCATTATTTAGTTCTTTTTTAAAGTGGAATTTTTATGTCTAATTTCTAACAACCAACTTCTCTTTCCTAATGTTTCAAATACAAAAGTTTTATTTGGAAAGTAATCCTAGGAAAGACTTAGAGACATAAAGAAGAGAACTGATAAATGATGCATTATCAAACAAGTTACCACTCTGAGTAGATCTTAATTGTCTGAATAATTCTGGGAACCAATGTAGATTACATGAATCAGAATTTTCTCTTTCTAGGGGAAAGTGTGCTGGAATATTTAAAGCTGATAACTTTAAATATTAAAGGAACATTATTTCTCTGGCATTTTCAGACCACCACATCCAATGGCAGAGGGCTCCCTGAAATCTTAGACAGTTAAAAGTTGGGCTGGCATGCATGGAATTACAGAGGGGGCACCAATTACATCTGCCACAATTAGAAGCTAAACAGTATTATTAATGCATATGTTTCAAAGGTATTCCCAATTAAATTAGTTCCTAAATGAATTTTATGCTTTCAACATTTAGCCAACAACAAATGGTTCTTTCCTAGTTAAAATAAAGAACTTAAATGGGATTGACATTGGGATTCTTAATGCCTGACAAATTTTAAAGACCATTGCATAGTTTGATGAGTTTTGGCAAATGTATCAACTTGTGTAACCTATATCCCAATCAAGATATTGAACAGAAATTCTGCTGGTGTCTCCTTTCAGTCACTCACCATTTTCTGTAAGTAATTCTTACTCTACCTTCTATCATAGGTTGCCTATTCTTGAATTTCATATGAAAGTATCATATAGTACATGGTCCTTTCTGTCTGGCTTCTTTTGCTCAACATAATGTTGCATGTATTATTTTTTCCATCTCTTTACTGTAGAATAATATTCCATTGTATTAGAATAATATTTTATTATGTCAATTATATGAGGAAGCCCAGGGAATCTTCCTCTCAGAAATGTTTTTGAGGATTTAAGAAAGTCTTTTTAGAGACCAGGGGATTTTCCAAAGCTTTTTTATTTAGCCTTTTCATTTTTAAAAATACGTTGTCCTAGCCCTGAAAATTAACATAGCTTTATCAACACAGATGCCTGCCAAATTAGGCCGTCTCTAAAATAGCTCCAGCCATGGGCAAGGCAGAATTTTAATAAATATGGATGGTCTATTCTTAGTACTTCACCACTTCAGGTTGTGTGTTTCTTATTCTTCTGTGTAGTTCTTTAAAACCCATTTGAAATTTTTTGAAACTGATTCTGTGGCCTTGCATATATGCCTTATCCTGGTGAATATAACGTGTAGACTTGAAGGTACATTCTGCATTTGGGTGTTTTATTCTATAAATTGAATTAGGTCAAGATAGTTGATAACATTTTCAAATCTTGTGTGTTACTAAGTTTTTTTTCCTACCTTACCTGTCAATTCAAAAGAAGGTTATACAAGAACAAATGATAGATGGGACAAACAGAAAAGAAATGGCGGGACAATAGATTTAAATCCAACCTTATCAGTAGACTTCAATCCAGCCAAGTCAACCATATTTATGTTACGTTAAATATAAGTGGATTAAATTCTCCCTTAACATCATCAGTTTTTGCTTCATGTATTTGGAAGCTCTGTTATTATTTGCAAAAACATTTGCGCTTGTTGTGAATTCCTGATGAATTAACTCTTATCATTGTAAAATATCTTTCTTTCTAGTCATACTTCCTGATTTGTAGTTTTTTTAATATATCCGCTCCTGCTTTCCTATGCTTACATATGTATGTTATCTCATTTTTCATCCTTTTACTATTATATTTCTTTATATTTAAAGTCTCTATTAATAGCACATAATTAGGACTTAAAAAAACTAATCTGATGATCTCTGGCCCTTATCAGTGTTTATTCCATTTGTACTTAATGTAATTTTTAAAATGTTATTTTAAAAAATTGTTTTATTTCGGTAACTTTAGGGGTTCAAGTGGTTTTCAGTTACGTGGATGCATTGTATAGTGGTGAAGTCTGGGATTTTAGTGCTCCTGTCACCTGAATAGTGTACATTGTACCAAATAGGTAGTTTTTCATCCTTACCTTCTTCTCACTCTTCCTGCTTCTGAGTCTCCACTGTCCGTTTATACCACTTTGTATGCCTTTGCATACCCATGGCTTAGCTCCAACTTACACAATACTTAATCCGATTATTTATGTGCTTCAGTTTGAGTCTACTACCTTAGCTATTGATTTTTCTTCCTCTTATGTGTCCATTGTTCCTTCATTACTGCCTTTGGATTTAATAAAATTGTGACTGAGGCTGCAGGGTTGTATGAGCCCAGGAATTCAAGACCAGCCAACTGGCAACATAGTGAGACCTTGTCTCAAAAACACACAAAAAGTAAAGTTTCTGTGAATTCATATTCTCCACAACACTTGGCTATGTCATTTTTTTTTCACTAATTGGGTATAAAACATTATCACATTCCTTCAGATTCCTCATTTATTAATGATATTAAGCACCTCTTCATATTTTTATTGGTTGAAAACATTTCTGCCAAATGATTGTTCATATCCTCACACCTCCCATTTTTTCGTTGATTTCTAGGAATTCTACACTTGGAATACCACTGAACTGGACCACTTATATTTGACTACTTTTAACTTATTAGCAAAATCTTTGGCCTTTGATTCTAACGCCAGTCCCTGGCTACCTGTTTAATTTGCAAAACCTTCCAAATTGGACCCCCTTATCCTACTACATTTTCCCCCTTAGCACCTACCACCTTTGCCATGTTACATACGTGTTTATTACTTGTATGTACTGTCTTTCCCTTACTAGTACATGTAGGCTGCTACATGGTATAGAGATTAAGAGTTAGCGTTTTGAACTTTCATAGCAATTTAACATTGTCATCATATTTTTATGAAATGAAGAGATTCGTCTCCAATGAATTGGAAAGTTTTGAAGAACTGGTTCTTCACTACTTTGAAAAGTGTGATCTAGGTTGTCTCATACCTTCATGTGATAGCATTTGAAAGGCTCATGGAACAGAACAGAGAAGAACTCATTAACTACTGTACCTATCGGACTTGAAAAAGTGTTTATGCTCTACACAAAATATAGTTGCTAACAAAGACGAATATGTTTTTCAGATTTAGTGAGAAAGTATGTTTTTCTAACATGGGCATTACTTTGTGTTATTGGTATTCCCATGTTTATAGCTGAGCCTGGTTTGTGTCTCTTTGTTTTATATATACACATATATAAATGTATCTATACAAAATACTGCTTTTTAAATGAAAGAGCATGCAAGCCACTTAATTATGTAATTCAGCTGAATCCTTTATGCTCTCAGTTTTCATGTTTTGAGTTTCTCAGACAAGAGTGTGGTTATTAAATGCATGTCTTGCTTCTTTGGATGGCGCACTGGCTGAGTGTGTGAATACATTTTTTGGAATGACCTAGGTTCATAACCTAACTTGTTGATTCCTTGTTTTCTGGGTAACCGTAGACACATACCTTGAGTATTTTCATGCTGTAGTATTTCCAGATAAATGGTAGTGATATTTTTCACCTTTGGAAGTGAGTAAAGTTCTGGAAAATCCTTAAGTGAAATGACTTTAATTCAAAACAATATTTTACAACAATTATATGGCATTATGTTAGAATGAATTCATAATCGGGAACTGATCCAAGAAGCTGATACCAGAACTATAAATATATTTGTGAAAATAAAGTGGTGAGATTTGGCTGCTTGGAAACAGAGGGCAAAGGTTTCTGTGAAACAGCATATGCCTTTTATTTCCCAGGTATTTGTTCTATCACAGTATATATAACATAGTAAGAGCTTTATTTGGGTGCTTAGTCTGGTACCTGAAATGCGTTAATGAATGTTGAAAATCGCATTATCTTGACTTTTTGTGCCAATGACTAAATTTTTGGCAAGCATTATCTCAATATATTTTTAAACAGATAAACCAATGAATAGATTGTGACATAATTTCAGGATAGACCCATCTTCAGATAGGATCAGGTAAAGAGAAATTATGTATTATAGTGGAAGTCAGACAGACCTAGGTTAGAAACTGAACTTTGCTGTATTTACTTTGCTGTGTTTCCATGCAAAAATCAAACATCTTTTATCCTCATTTATAAAATGGAGATGAATTCACACATTTTATAAGGCTGTTGTCTAATTATTATGGATAATTTATGTAAATGTGTAGGAACCACTATAGGCACTCAGTATGTGATACCTGTGGCTCCATTACAAAAGGTTTAATACCAGTAGGAGTGTGTGTGTGTGTGTGTGTGCGCGCGCACATACACATAGTATATTTGTTAGTTAATCCTTTTGTAGACAAATCTTAAGTCCTTGTACAGAAAGAAAAAAAAATTAATAGAGCAGAGATTGGGTGGGGCTGGTAAAGGGAGAAAGGAGTCTTGTCTGGCCAGTACTTGTCATGGCCCTCAGCAAGCTTCCATGGCCATCCCTGTTGCCCTTTACAGAGGCCTAGAGTTCTAGAGAACAGCATGGAAACCATGCTAGTGGATTTTAAACACCTCAAGTGCAAGAATGGAATCTTCTTTATTAACTGATACAGGTATCACATGTGGCCTTGCGCTACAGTAGGTGCGTGGCCACAGCTTACTACTCCACTACTGAAGTTCCTCCTCCATATTTGACTACACAGCAGAGTTATCCTTTGAACCTGAATTAGCAAACCCACTAGCAAGCCTATGCCATTTAATGGATATAGTAATAACATCATTTTTTTTTCCAGATCTAGGTTGGAATTTGCCCCTGACAAATAAGAAAATGATGAGTGATGCAAGCGATATGTTGGCTGCAGCATTGGAGCAGATGGATGGTATCATAGCAGGTGATCTGCATCCTGTGAAAGACAGAATCACAACATTTACTCTGCTCACTTCACTTTTTCACTACAACTTTCATATTATCTTTTCACTTGATTTTCATTTTTTAGCCCTATGCCTTTTGCTTCCCTGTAATTTCGCCATTGTTCTTCTTCTCCATTTTCTGCCAGCATTATTCTCAAACATTATTTTAAAGTATCAAAAATTCTAGTTCCATCCTAGGTTTCTAATCAAGGATAAAGAATCTGTATCTCAGGTGATTCTGGTGTAGGTGATCTGTGGACCATACTTCGAGGGACACTGCTCTACCCAGTAACCGTGAATGTTCTGACCTGTTTTCCTGAATTCAAAATTCACTTTTCACCAACGACTCCCATATGTTTTGTGGTTTTTTTTGTTTTTGTTTTTGAGAGGGAGTCTCGCTCTGTTGCCCAGGCTGGAGTGCAGCGGTGCAATCCCAGCTTACTGCAACCTCCGCCTCCCGGGTTCAAGCAGTTCTCTGTCTCAGTCTCCCAAGTAGCTGGGATTTAGGTGCCCACTGCCACACCTGGCTAATTTTTGTATTTTTACTACAGATGGGGTTTCACCATCTTGGCCAGGCTGGTCTTAAACTCCTGACCTTGTGATCCACCCTTCTCGGCCTCCCAAAGTACTGGGATTACAGGCGTGAGCCACCGTGCCCGGCCATATCAATTTCTTTTTTTTTTTTTTTTTTTTTAAGAGAGGAGGTCTTGCTCTGTTGCTCAAGCTGGAGTGCAGTGGCTATTTACAGGCATGATTACCTGCGAATAACATGCATAGTGCAGCCTTGAAATGTTGGGCTCAAGCAATCTTCCCACCTCAAGTACCTGCGATTACAGGCATGCGTCACTGCACCCAGCTTGTTCACATCTATTTACCTTCCCAATTCTTTGCTAAGCTTCCAGTCCCTGTCTCTAATTTCCAACCAGATATCTCTCCAGAAATGTCCTATAGGCATATCAATGTAATCATTTAACACATTGAGCTCATTGTCTTTCCTCAGAATTTACTCTGATAGTCTTTATCTGGGTTCATTTCATAACCCTTCATCCACAGTTTTTCTAAGCCAGAAATCATTTGGTCCAGTATTGGTCCGGAATTGACCAGCTCTAGTATTTGTATTTTCTGATCTGCTACTTTCTTAACCATCATCCCCACGATGCCAGCACACCTCACACCAAAGCCCACCAGGTTCTTTTTCTTTCTATACCCCAGGATTGGCCTCCTCGTTAGGAATTGGACCATGGATATTTACCATCAACTACATGGTTTTAATTTTTGCACCATGTAACTCTGACTTGGAGAGATTTATGTGATTGAATTCTCTTTTTTCTGTCTCTTTTGATTGTTCCTTACTGTGACTAGACTGGTTTACCACCTTCGGCTTTGGTATTTTTATCTAACATAAATCCCATTGCTCTCTCTGTGATTTTGTTTAACTTAGGTTCTAAGGCCCTGGAATATTCCAATGGGATTTTTGATTGCCAATCTCCCACCTCTCCATTCATGGGAAGTTTGCGAGCTCTGCACCTTGTGGAAGACCTGCGTGGATTGTTAGAGATGATGGAAACAGATGAGAAAGAAGGTTTGAGATGCCAGATCCCAGATTCAACAGCAGAAACGCTTATTGAATGGCTTCAGAGTCAAATGGTAGGGTCTGCCTGTTATAAATTCTGTGTTATGAATCCTTTGTTGCTTATTCTAAAATTTAGAACATAGAATAGCTGATTAGAACAAGAAAAGTTTAAGGCAACAGATGCGCTCGTTTTTTTTTTTGAGACGGAGTTTCAAAAAACTGTCGCCCAGGCTGGAGTGCAGTGGCACGATCTTTTCTCACTGCAAGCTCCGCCTCCCGGGTTCACGCCACTCTCCTGCCTCAGCCTCCTGAGTAGCTGGAACTACAGGCACCCGCCACCACGCCCGGCTAATTTTTTGTATTTTTAGTAGAGACGGGGTTTCACCGTGTTGATCAGGATGGTCTCGATCTCCTGACCTTGTGATCTGCCCGCCTCGGCCTCCCAAAGTGCTGGGATTACAGGCGTGAGCCACCGCGCCTGACCAAGGATAACTTTTTTAAAAGTGCTATTAGTGTACATTTTATAAATACCAACTGCGGGTGACCTGATTCTGCCCATAAAAACAGACTCCCTTTTGATTGTGCTTGAATGACTTCCTGTGGCTTAAATCAAATAGTGCTATAAGGGAAAGAATCTTGCACATAATAGATGATTTCTCAGTCATATTGGGTTCTTCACTGTAAAGGACCCAATAGCAATTCTAAACGGAAAGCATAATGAAAGACATTCAAAAAGCCACAGGATTTACAGCAGTATTTGACCTGAAGTGCCATCTAGTGGTTTATGGCAATCATGTCAGTTCCAGTTCTCGAATTAAATTGTGGAGTTGGGCCTTTAACCCATTTATGCGTAGTGTTCCATTATTGGAACGCTAAGCTTGTGGGAGTTATTTATATTCTGCTCAAAGTCATCGCCAAGGTCTCATTTTTCAAAAAAAAAAAAAAAATGCAACCTCTGGCATTAGTGGGTTAATGGTGTTATTCACTGAACAGTGAGGCCTCTTTCTAGGCATCTTTCTCAAAAATTGATGATGCGGCAGAGCTACCCTTTGTCTGGACACAGTGGTAAATACCAGGGTTTTAATCTGTGATGATTACATAAAATCTAAAGAGTGTCACAAAAACATATTCAGTGGAGGACAAAGAAAAGGAGATATTTTGTGTTTAAAGGATATTCAGTTTTCAGTAAGAGGCAATAATATGCTTATGAGCTAACTGTGTTGATATAAAAACTAATGAGAATTGTATGAAAGAATCCTGATCTACTTTTGGATCTGTGGTAGACATGAAAACTGCTTGCTTTGGGAACCTTAAGAGTACATCCTACAGCTAAAACATTTTCATAGGACGTGACACAAATACCAGAGCTCCCAGCCAGTCCTGTGCTGAATACTCTGTGTTCTCACCTATTTTACCTCTGAGTTTATGAGTGCAAATAATATAATCCTTCAGCGGTGGTGCAGCTACACAAACTTGACAATTGAAGATATTTTACTTGTTAAAACACATAATGCCTTACTATTCTACTTTATATTTGCTCTGCAAATTTCTCCTCCAGAGATTTAAAGGTCCAGGTTTGCTGATTTCTTTGGGGATTGCTTCATGCTCTGAAATTGGTGTTTCCTGGAATATTCCTTAGTCTATTTCAATGTCCTATCTCACCCCTTCTTTACTCCATGTTCTTCTGACCATTTAGCATGCAGTGAAAAAAGGAATTTACTATTGTTAGAAGAACCTGTTTCTATCCTACACCCAGAGGCCACCAATAGCAATAGTAGCCTAAGCATACTTGTAGTTCAATTTTTGACATGTGTGTAAAACATTTCCATTAACATGTGCTTAATCTGTTCTGTGAAAGTATGTCCAGAAATGATAAAAAGTAATGATGATTACATCTGAATATAAGTTAGATCATGACACTCACTCCTTTTTTCAGAAACTGCCAATGGCATCACATCTTACTCAGAGTAAAAACCACAGTGCTTACTGTGGGCTGCAAGGCCTCGTAGGATTTGCTCCCCATGACTTTCTGACCTCATCTCTCATCACACATCTGCTTATTCACTCCACACCAAGCACATTGGCTATTTCACTGATTCTTAAACGTGCCAGGTACACTGGCCTCTGAGCCTTTGCACTGGCTTTTCCAGGCACTGGCTTTTCACTTTGCCTGGAAAGCTCTTTCCCCAGATGTTTGTATGGCTAGCTCCCTCATATTCTTCTCTTTCCCCAGATGTTTGTATGGCTAGCTCCCTCATATTCTTCTGGTGTTTACTCAAAAGTCCTGCTCTCAGTGAGGCCGTGCGTCACCACCCTAACTAAAATTATACCCATTTATTCTTTGTCTTACATCTCCCCGCTTTATTTTGTTCTTAGCATTCACCACTTTCTTATGTGCAGTGTATTTGTGATGTTTATATGATTTATTATCTGTCTTTTCAACTGGAATATAAGCATCATGAATCCGATTTTTGCCCTTAATTTTTTAAAAATACTGTATTCCTAGTGCTTAGAAGAATGCCTGGCTCAGTAGTTATATTTGTAATGAATGATGCTCCATGGATGATAAAGTGGAATGCACGTTCAAATGAATGGAAGTTGTTTTAAGTTTATTCCTCGGATGGGTAATGTCTTGTTGATCAATGTTTTTAGTAGCTTTCTCTCTTATTATTTGACATTTTAACCTTGAGGATCCACAAAATGACAAATATTTTAAAGAACTAATGAAGATTCAATTTTTATTCTAAAAGTAACAATAACAAAATAAACTAGATGTAGATTTAGAGAGATAAGGAATTTTTGTAATTGCTAAATTTATATCCATCTAATTTATTTATAAGAATTCCTCACCTTGCCCCCAACTTTCCAAATTCAGTGTGTTTTCTTGAGCACACAGAGAATGACAGGATGAAAGAAGAAAGGCAGCAAAAGGCAAAAAACAAAGCAAGAAGAGGAGAGCAGGACTGGCTGTTTGGAACCATAAAAGCATAGGAGTGAAATTGAGTTGTCACCACACACCTACCATGATAGACTTTATTTTAGAACCAAAAAGCAACTTGGGCCAGCATTGGGAATCCAACAAGCAGAAGATTATATGCTTATAATTAGTGATTGGCTGATAATATTAGATTTTTCCAATTTAATATTTCAGAAGTTAGGATGTGTTTTATGATCTTAAAATGGGGATATGTATACATTTTAGCTGGGATCCATCCTCCCTTCCTCTCTCCCTTCTTTCCTTTTTATTAATAAGGTACTTAGAATAGTCAAATTTTAGAGACAGAAAGTAGAATGGTGACTGCCAGGAGCTGAGGGGAGCAGAGAATGGAAAGATAATACTTATTGCATATAGAATTTCAGTTTTGCAAGATGAAAAGAGTTATTTAGATGGATGATGGTGATGGTTGCAAAACAGTGTAAATGTGCTTAATATCACTGAACTATACACTTTAAAATGGTTAAAATGCTAAATTTTCCGTACTTTACCACAATAAAAAATTAAAATTGATGTCATCCTAGAATTTAAGGAACACAGAATCCTAGCAAATTCCCCCTTCATATTTGAGTATGGGGAAACTGCCCAAATAAAAGAGATTGTGATGTTTAAAAAAAGGAAGCAGTGAATGATAAGGCAGGATTGTATCTAGGGAGTTTCAAATGCAGGCTGTAGTAATAGCAGATCTGAATTTTAATGTTGGCCCTAACTCTTCGAAGCTTGTATGACCTTGTGAAAATGTCTGAAGTTCTGTGTCTTGGTTTTCTCATCTGTAAAATGGGGATGATGGTTACTGCCACTTAGGATTGTAAGGATCCTATGAACTAATGTATGCTGAGGGCTTATGAATACGCCTGGAAAAAGGCTAGTCAGAAAGGCAATACTGAAGAGTAGAGCGTAGAGAAGAGAATAGAGGGAAAATGTTTAACAGGAACCCTTTGCAGTGAGGAAAGAGTTGGGTCCAGTTGCAAGGGGAGTTAGGTTACAAACCACAAATACATAGTTCCCTTCTTGCGATAAAAGAGTATAAACATTTCTCAGACTACAGAGAAGCTTCTGGAATATTTTAGAAAAACTTAAATTCAAAAATTTTTGGAAATAATTATGTATCTGTAAATAATAACAGATATATAATTATGGTTCCATTCATGTTTAATGATGGCCAACTTGACAGGCCCTGTACTTTAAGATGGATACTAACCTTTTCATTAGTGCAACTGGGCATTTGCAGTTCCAACTATCATTTTGCCTGGGCCAGGGAGATCCCCTGGTTTCTTGTAGGATGCAGGTTATTTCTTTACTACTGATTGCTCCTGCCTGTTTGTTTCATATGATCAGACACTGAATGTGATCAAATACCAACACTAGTAACCTGTTATAGTGAAGGGACATTAAATCTGTAAGAATGAATTTACAAGTGTAGCTGTAGGCTTCTAGAAATGAACAAATTTCTTTTAAAACTCAGAAGTGTGTCTCCTTGGTTTAAAAAAACTATAGACTATGACATATTTGTTTAGTTACTAAGGCTGAATTTTCTGTTTTGATTGTGAAATATTATAATGTGTTAACACAGATATTAATAATGGAGAATTACTTGCTTTATGAAGCTCCAGATTCAAGAAGGCAAATAGAAAAATATGTCTAATTGTTTGAGTCAAGCAAGTAGTTATTTACTTTAGGTCTAACTTGATGAGTTGCCCTAGAACATTCTTATAATGTTTTTTTTTAACTGAGGATCATGACCTTGATCCATGTCAGCAGGGGATCAGGTAGTGAAATCCCAAAGATGTCTGACTATTTGGCAGTTTCAATTATGAGGCCATCCCAAAGTCAGCAGAAATTACAAAAATACAATTTTCAAAAAAGTGAGTGAAATACTAATGGTGAATACTAATGGTAATAACTCCAAAGCAGGCATCATCACCCATGAGATAGATAGAGTGTAAACAGGGGAAATGAAGTGTTCTGGACTGGCTTCAGACCTATTAATCATCATAATACACTTCTGTCTTATTTTTACATTAAAAGTTAGATAATATTAATCCCAAATGTGTATTTTTAAAAGTTGCTATAAAAATA